AGAAGTTGGAGACGCGGTTTTCAATCTCGGCTGGCTGTTCACTCCCCGCCAAGGGAGGACATTAGCAAGTCTAATCGTTTCTAAAATGTGGCGGGCCCCTGGGAGCGTTCTCAGACTTACTGTGCAGATGGGCTCACAGACCTCGGGTTCGAATCTGTCTGAGAGGTGAGCACCGGCCGCTGAGAGCAGTGCTACTGAGACCTTGCTGCGTGCCGCGCCGCTGTCGTGGTGGGGCCTGGTGGGTGATTCTGAGCAAACGATAGAACAAGCCTGGGTGTTTCCTTCCCATTTTCTCAAATGGGGCAATGTGGGGTTCTTTTCCCAAAGAAAAGGAATCTTGAGGATCCCAAAGTCTTTTTCTACATCTAGTGTCACATCAGGGAGCCCCCCTGGGTGCCGCAGACGGTTAACACGCTCAGCTGCTAACTGAAAAGTTGGAGGTTCGAATCCACCCAGAGGCACCTCGGGAGAGAGGTCTGGCGATCTCCTTCCAAAAACTCAGCCGTTGAAAACTCTATGGAGCACATTTCTGCTTTGACACCTGAGGTCGCCATGAGTCAGAGTCGACTAGATGGCAGCTGGCTCAGTGCAGCATCGAAGGTGTGCTCCCGGCCGGTGTGGGTGTTAGAAGAGCTTCACAGATTTCCCACTGTTAGCACCCAGGCCCTGTCCAGTTCGTGGGTCCTCTAGGCCCCCCCAGAGGGTGCTGTGGATGTGCTCTGAGTGGCCACATGCTGATATTCGTTTATGTGACACCATCCTAATACCCAGGGGATGTAAAAATGACAGCCTGGGAGCAGTCATCTGTGAGAGTTTGATCTGGACTCTGGCTAGCTGGCGACTCAGGCTTTGCCCGCACACACTAGTCGCCTTTTTGTTGTACCCCACACAGCCTTCGTTCCTCCCTTCCTGGGCTAATATGTAAGGTCAGGTGGTTTCCATTCTCCTTATGCCCTAGGAGAATAAAATGTATACAGTTCCCTTTATAGTGAACTATAAAAAGCAGTGACTTCCAACCCTACCTGTACTTAGGGGTCACCTGGGGCATTGGAAGACAACACCTGTGCCAGAGCCCCAGCGTCTGGAGATTTTGGCTGCTTTGGGGTTGGCCTGGCATTGGGGTTTTTAAAAACTTCGCTCCCCCTCCTCCTACCTACCCCAAACTCAAAACCCAAACCTGTTGCCACTGAGTTAATTCTGACTTATGGTGACCCCATGTGTTCCAGAGTAGAACTGCTTCATAGGGTTTTCTTGGCTGTAATCTTTATGGAAGGGAGCCCTGGTTGCACAGTGGTTAAGCGCTCAGCTGCTAACTGAAAGGTGACGATTTGAACCCACTGGCTGCTCTGCGGGGGAGAGATGTGCCAGCCTGCTTCTGTAAAGATTACAGCCTTAAAAACCCTGTGGGGCAGTTCTGCTCTGTCCTGTAGGGTCGCTATGAATCAGAATCTACTCGGTGGCAACGGGTCTTTCTAAAAAATCTTTATGGAAGCAGTTTGCCGGGCTTTTCTTTTGCGAAGCCCCTGGTGGTGGGTTTGAACCGCCAGCCTTAAGGTTAGCAGCGGATCACAAACCACTGCGTCACCCAGGGGCCTCAGGCTGTTCTAATGTGCTGCCAGAGTTGAGAAGCTTTGCCATCGAGTAGAATTTAACAACATGCCGGCATGTGTGCATGTAAATAGTGCTGGTGCCTTTTCCACGGTCACCTTGGGGGACCTGCCCTTGCTTAGGACTTCGGAGGAAATTCTGCTCTCAGAATTACCCTTTGGTCCAGTGTGAGACCCCATGAAAGCACAGTCTGGAATGACTCAGTATGGGAGCCCACCTGGTGCATATGGCAGCGGGGGCACTTATCGCTTGACAGGCATGGCCTTTTTTTTTAAACTCCAGGTTTTGTTACCCACCTTATTTGCCTGACTTGATGTCTAGTGAATTTTGGCTTTTTTTTTTTTTGGTCTCTCATTCAACAGATATTTAATGTGCCTGGCGTGTGCCAGGTGCTTGGTCTGCAAAAGACAATGAGATACTGCCTCCAGAGTTTCTGTTCCAGTGGGGGGGGGGTTAGACAGTGAGCAAGAAACAAATCTAGTAATCACCGATGGCACTTCGTGTCATGAAAGACGTGTGGGGGCTGGGATGGCGGGCGGCAGCTGCTGTAATGGGACAGCCAGGGAGGCCTCTGTGGACAGGCGTTGAGGATGTGATCTGACGAGGACAAGGAGTCCCGGATGGAGCAGGAGAAAGGTGGGGTGCAGAACTCAAATTCTAGCAAGAAGAACAGACTTAATGGTATGACTGAGACTGGAGGAACCCCGGAAAGCGTGGCCCCCGGATTCTCTATCAGCCCAGAACTAAAACAATTTCTGAGGCCAACTCTTCAGACAGGGATTGGACTGGACTGTGGGACATAAAGTGATACTCGTGAGGAGTGTGCCTCTTAGCTCAAGTAGATACAAGAGACTAAACGGGCAGCTTCTATCCGGAGGTGAGATGGGAAGGCAGAGGGGGTTAGGAGCTGGTTGAATGGACATGGGGAATCGGGTGGAAAGGAGTATGCTGTCACAGTATAAGGAGAGCAACTAGGGTCACATAACTATGTATAAATTTTTGTATGGGGAAAAAAAAATGTAACACAGAGTCCCGGGTACCCTCGCCCCATTTCCCCCAGTGGTAGCATTTTGCAGAACTAAAGTACAGCATCAAAGTGGGACAGTGACACCAAAGCAGAGCCCCTCCATCACCACCTGCTGCCATTTTAGAGCCACAATGACTTCCCTCCCCTGCTCCCCAACCCTGGAAGCCACTAATCTCTTTTCCATTTCTAGAATTTGGTCATTTCAAGAATGCCATATGAGTGGCCTCTTGGGAGTATGTGGTCCATGGGGAGCGTGTGGCCCCCTGGGAGCGAGTGGCCCACTGGGAGTTGCTTTCTTCACTCAGCACACTGCCCTGGAGGTCCACCCAGGTTGTAGTACGTTTTGGTGGTTTCTTTTTTATTTCCGAGTAGTGTTCCGTGGTGTGGAAGTGCCACAGTTTGTTTAACCATTCACCTGTTGAAGGCCATCTGGGTTGCTTCGTTTTTGGCTATTGCCAGTGAAGCCGCTGTGAACGTTGAGGTACAGGTTTTTGTGTGAATGTCGCGTTCATTTCTCTGGGGTGAAAGCCCAGGAGTCCGGTCGCTGGCTCACGTGGTAGTTTCATGTTTTATTTCCTACGAATCCGCCAGACTTTTCCAGAGAGGCTGCACAGTGGTTTATGTTTGTTTGTTGTTTTAAGTGGCTTAGCAGCTGAAGAACGACTGCACGCGGGCCCTGCTGTATAAAGGAGGTGGAGGCGGGGCCGCCCTGGTTTAGAGGGCTGGCCCAGGAGCCCCCATGGAGGATTCTTCAGCCACTTCTTGATCCTGCTGTCCCAGGAACCCAGTTTAACCCCGGTCTTTCCAGTCCCGGGATCCTCTTCACTTAGTGCGGCAGTAGGAAGAGATGACAGTATTTCTCTTGCCTGAAATATGAGGACATTGCCAGCTTTTATCGTGTGGAGCTGAGGAGCCCTGGTGGCACAGTGGTAAAAGCGCTTGGCTGCTATCCAGAAGGTTGGTGGTTCAACCCCACCAGCCGCTGCGTGGGAGAACGATGTGGCAGTCTGCTTCTGGAAAGTTTACAGCCTTAGAAACCCAGTGGGGCAGTTCCACTGTCCTGTAGGGTTGCTGTGAGTTGGAATTGCCTCGACGGCAGTGGGTTTGGTTTGGTTTTTATAGTATGGAGCTAGGGGGTTAACTTTCCATTTTAACGTCAGTCTTTTGTTTTGGGCTGAGCCTAATCTTTGGGGTCCTTGGGCCCAGCTTGTGTGTCAGGAGACTGCAGCTCAGCGGTTGTGGGCCCCGGATGGAGGCGTCCATCCAAGGGCTGGCTATTGTTCTCCTGCCTAGGCTGCCTGTGCGCCTCCGTGCCCCGGGAAGTGCGCAGGAGCCAGAAGTGAGGACAGTAGAGGGGCGGGGTGGCGGCCGGCCAGCAGGCAGGAAGGAAGGCGTAGCTCCCATAAACCGGGTGGGGGTGGGAGAAGAGATAAAGGGAGAAGGAGCCGACTGGGGTGGGGTGGGGTCGGAGAAGACTCTGTGGGATAGAGAAACACTGTCAAAAACTGGGCGAGGAGTTGGGTGCTGTTGAACTTAAAACCCAGAAAATGAGGTTGCCGTGGTGGAAGAAGTCGCCTGCAAGGGAGCGGGCAGGGGAGCCGGAGCGTGGGTGGGTTTGTGCTTCTGATGGTTTCTTTAAACGTACCGTGGCTACACTTTGTCAGATGCGCCCTGCCATCGCCCGCCTCTCACCCCTCAGCTCTTACCTGAGGTCTGGGCAGGTGGGCCCCCGTCTTACCGAATAGCTCGCCATCTCTGAGAGGGAAACCCTAGTTGGGCAGAATAAGCCCCCCCACCACCACCACTTTGTGTCAGCCCCTCTAATAGACCAGGAGCCGGGCCGACTCGGCGGCCTGGGGAGAGAAGAGAGGAGAAGGCTCAGTTTAAGTGAAATCAGTTCCCAGGGTCTCCAGCTTTTGCCTTTGATCTCTAACCATAGCTCTTAAGCCTGAGTTGACATCGTGCCAACTGGTCCCCTCCGGTAAATGTGATTCTTTTACTTCTGGAGTTGCCGAAACCTGTGTTTAAAAACAATCTAGCCCTAAATCTTGGAGCCGTTTACTTTTTCAAGAACAATGGCAGCAGTACCTAATTCACGTCACGGTGCCACTGTTGAAATAAAAGCTGCGGACAGAGTCACAGGACAAAGCCAGTCCTGCAGGCTGTGTGCACAGGAAGTCGGCATTGTCTGAGCCAGAAATGGAAGGGGCTGGAGGCCGGCGGGGAGCGGCTGCCTCGCATGGTGCCGGCCAGGAGACCCGGGAAGCTGGAGCAGATGCGCAGGGCTCTGGGGGCAGGGCGGGGACCTCTGGGACCAGCCACGGACTAATCTACCGTTGGCTGTCTTCTCGTATGTTCTTTGCAGACACAGAGTGTGCAGCTTAACAAAGAAATGACCCTCGCCAGCAACCGGAGCCTGGCAGAAGGGAACTTACTGTACCAGCCGCGACTGGACGCTCTGAAAGCAAGTCTGACCCAGAGATACCAGGAACTCCAGGTGCTCTTTGAAGCCTATCAGATAAAGAAGACCAAACTAGGTAACTTTCTCAGGGTGATCTTTCCAAGAATTAAGAGTTGAGGGAAGGGCACATTGTCACACTGTTGCCCTACCATGAAAGAATTATTAATAAGGAAAATTTCAGGCTGAGACAGTGATTCTTTTGCGGTGAAGAAATAGTTTCTATATAGAATGGCATCACCAAATTAGAAAAGAAGCAACCACTTCTTTTATTCAAGACTTCCCCCAGCAGCATGGAAGAAGATGGCTGTTTTTTGAATGCTAACGTTCAGTGGTTGTTTTATCCTCTGACATTTGGTCCTCACAGTTAATGAGGAAGAGTGTCACTCACGAACATTTTATTTTGTCACACTTTAATTTGCAGCTGCTATGAAGAGTCTGGAACACTTTCGCTAGCTTGCAAAGGGGCGTTTGGATGAAGGGTAGTCGGGTTAAAGTCACGGCCTGTGGGGAGGCTTACATTGATGTCGGATGTCTGCTGTAACCCTCTCCCCTTATCTCTGTGGCTTCAGTACACACTTTGTCCAACACCCCAGGCAGAAGGGCCAAGAGCCCCAGTCTGGCAGTAGATGCCAAGTGTGTGGGAGGCGATGGGGCTGTTTACGTTGTTGGTGGGGAGGCAGGCTGGTGAAACCGCCTTGGAAAAACCGTTTGGCAGTACCTCCTAAAATGAATGGTACGCACGTTGTCATTCAGCAGTTCCATGCTTGGGTGTGTGCCCAACAGGAATGGGTGTTCATACCCATCAAAAGATACGGACAGGACTGTCTGTTGCAAGCGAAGTTTTGTCCGTGTGCAGAATAATGAGTAATAAATTGTGATGCACACACAATGGATTCCTACACAGCATTGAAAGGAAATGAACTGCAGACACTCACAGCCACGTGGATGATGTCAGAGACGCGTTGCGTGGAAGAAGCCCGTCACAGAGCGTAGACCTAGGATTCCCTTACACGAAGTTCAAAACCAGACAGAGCAGATCTGTGCGGGTGAGGTCAGCATAGGAGTTCCCTTTGGGGGTTATTGTCTGGAGGTGGACCTGAGGGAGGCTTCTGGAGCTGTCCTGTATCCTGACCTGCGTGGTAGTTATTTGGGTTTATACATATGTAAATATTCAAGTCACACACATAAGGTTTGTATACCGGATGTGAGTGGTCAGTCAGCCCAGGAGAAAGGAAATGTAAATGTGTCCTTCAGTGTTCCTCTCGCGTGCTCCAAAGGGGCCAGGGTTGTGGGGTCACAGTGAGGGGCCCTGGTGCTGTGCTCCGCATGCTGCCCGGAGCCCCTCTGGGCACGTGTTATATGGGTCAGTCCTCATGGACTGAAGGCCTTTCCTTCCAGCTTCCTGGGAAATCACTCTCCTGCTGTAATGGGTCTTCGTTTGGAAGGGAGATGGGAAGCGGTCTGGATGAGCTTGTCATTCTGCGGGGCTGGGGGCACTGTGGTTCTGAGGTTGCACCTGGATGTCCCCTCACCTCACGCCTTTTGCCTTTCCAGATAAACAGTCGAACAACGCCTCCGTGGAGACTCTGCTGGCGCTTCTTCAAGCCGAAGGGGCCAAGATTGAGGAAGATACGGAGGTGAGGCCAGCTCCCCGGGCGCTCGGTCTCCCTGGGCAGTGAGCGGGCCGCTTCTTCCAGGGGCATGAACGCCACACCTCCACACCAGGAGTGTGAGTCCAGGCAGGGGCCGGTGCGGCCGGAGCTGCAGGGTCAGGATGTGCAGGCTGCCTTCGAGCTGGGCTGCCTGTGAGCTGGGCCTGTGGGCTTGGGACAGTGCCGGGCCGGGCTTTGGGGGAGCAGTGGGCGGCCTAGTCCCCAATGAGGTGTTCACACTGTGCTGTTGAGTCAGCTGATCCCAGGGGTGCTGGCGGCTTCGTTTCCGTCTGCTCTGTGTGTGTCTGCGTCCACAGGCGGTCACAGTGCCTTCTGGAGTGGCCAGCTGAGTGCTGCAGGGCTGAGCCTTGCTCAGCAGGAAGGAAATGAGTCTGGGGCTGTGGGTTCGAACTGACAGTCTTTGGGTTAGTAGCTGCACGCTGAATTGTTGGCACCACCCGGGGACTCCACAGTGTAGCCCAGAGGTGTCTGGAGTTGGGGCTGGCACTATCACTAAGATTAGGCTGCTGGTCCCCATCTAGGGTGATAGCTCAGGGGCAGCCAAGTGTGAAGGAAGAGAAAATTGGCCTCCAGCTGGCCTGATGAGGGAGGGCAGAGACTGGGTGCAGTGTGATGCGCTCAGTGCCACGTAGGCCCCTTGGTCTTAAGGACCCCCGCCTGTCCTTGCTTGTGGTGGAGGGGTAGACAGGAGGCGCCCCTGCCCGCCTCCCGCCAGCTCTCTGGCTCGTGTGGGTCCCTGCCCACCCACGGAGCAGTCACTCTGCCAGGTGGTGGGGCCCCAGGCTGTGCCTCCAGGGTTGCAGCGAGGACACGTCAGGGTGGTCACCAGGACAAGGGGGCCAGTGTCAGGAGGAAGCTGGGATGTTGCCCCCGCCCGCGTGGCTGTTCTGGCACCCTGGGCGGTGAAGGGAGCTGTCTTCCTGATGGCTGACATGTCCCCGTAACCCAGTGTCACTGCGTCTTTCAGAACATGGCGGAGAAGTTTCTTGACGGAGAGCTTCCTCTAGACTCCTTCATGGACGTCTATCAGAGTAAGCGGAAGCTGGCCCACATGCGGAGAGTTAAAATCGAGAAACTCCAGGAGATGGTGCTGAAGGGGCAGGGACTCCCGCAGGCCCCGGCCCCGCTGCCGCCCAGGGTGCCCACGCCTGCCGCCCCCCTGCCCTACCTGGCCCCCGAGGCCAGCAGGCCGCTCCCTGTGGCGCCACGGCGCGTCCCCCCTCCGCCGCCCCCGGTGCCGACAGGACGCTTGGCCACCCCGTTCACAGCTGCCGCAGGCTTGGGACAGGCCCTTCCATACCCCGGATTGCAGTGCCCTCCGCTGCCACCCCGAGCGGGCCTCCCGTCCTCCGGCTTTGCCCCCCAGCAGGGCTTCTCCGCAGAGTTGATGTCGTCGTACCCGCCGGCCCTGCCTCAGCGGCCACCACCCCGGCTGCCCCCACACCAGCCGGGCTTCATCCTCCAGTGAGCGCCCGTTCCCCCGAGACTTGCCCGGCGGCAGCGGTGGGCCTTTGCGCACACGCGCTTACGGGAGGGCGCGTCGCTGGGCGCGGGTCCCGGCCGCTGTGGCCGTCCAGTGTCAGAGGTGTCGGTCTGTGGGGAGGTAGAACCCAGGCTGCCTGCACACACGGAGGCAGCGGTGTGGGCTGCAGACTGGCACCCCAGGCGGGGCCGTGGGCGTCCTCAGTGTGCTATCTCAATGTCCTTGTGTCGATGAACTTGGGAGCTGACAACCCTCCCTGCCCTTCCCGTTAGAACCTGGTCCCCCCGTCGCAGCTCGTGAGTTGTGGATCATTTGGCTCCTTCCTCAGCCTCCTTCTGACTGGCGCCTTCCTCAGCCTCCTTCTGACAGGCTGTCCTGTGGGCCCTGGCAGGGCCGGCCAGAAGGTGCCCCCCAGCCCCGGTGGACGGTCGTGCTGTCTGTGAACCTGCGGGGCACCCTCACAGTCCCCTGTCTGCCCTGAGCCCGGCTGCTTTTCGGAGGCCGCAGAGCCACTGCGGAGTTGGTGCTGCGCCAGGCCCCGTGCCGCCTCGCCTCCTCCGGGCTGGCCCTGCCCATTTCTATCCAGAGATGCTCCCCTGATGTTTTTACTACTTGTGTACTTTTCCTGTTTTGTATTGGGCAAAAACCTTTTTGACACTCACAAGATTATTCAGGGAAACTTTATAAAAAGTGCACAGCTTGTTCTGAGCAGACCGCGATGCAGATGAAGTGGATGCAATGTTCTTTCTTGCAAGTGGTGCGCGGTCACCCGCGGTGCCCTGCTGTGCCTTAGCACCGCCTGGTGCCAGGATTGGGCCAGGAGGGGCCCCCAGGCTCCCCTTCCTCCAGGGCTGGGTATGCCCTAGCGGGCTGCGCCTGCTGGCCACCAGAGGAGAGCGCTCTGCTTTCAGGGAGGAAGGGAGGGCTTGTCCACGCTCATTGTTTGCTTACGGGCGGGAGAACAGTCCTGCCACCGTCAGCCAGGATCCTCTTTGCCAACGTTCCCTGCCTCGGGCTGGCTGCCGCCTTGGGCAGTGGGCTACGGGGCTAGGTGGGGGTGGCATGGGGGATACTCTGAGAAGCGTCTTGACTTGGGTCCGAGTCTGGCCCACAGGATCCTCCCCTCGCGGGCACCACACGCCTGTTGACAGATGAAGGCTGGGTGCTCACTGGAGTTTGTGCGTCACCTCATCCTGTCACCTGTCAGGCAGCCAGGCCCCTCAGTGGCCCCTGCCCAGCTGGCTGCTGTCCAGGGTGACAGAATCTCACAGGGCAGAGGTGTAGTCTGCTCAGGAGTGCCATGGGCGGAGCTGCCCACCTTTGTACTCAGTGATCCTCCATTCTGCTCCTGGACTTGACCTCTACTGTATTGTAACTTTTTTAAACGAAACTGTATAGGACAGTTCGCTGCCATGCCAATGGGGTGGGCTCACCCCGTCCTGGAACCTCGGGATCTGGTGCCACTCGCTCCTAGGATACCTCTGCGGCTGCCCGCCACCACCAGGACGCCCAGCCTGGCAGCGGAGCTGCCGCCAAATGTGTGAGCATGGCTGTGGTCGTTGTGAAGGGGCCCCAGGCTGGCCATACCACCTCTCCATGCCACGCCCAGGGCTGTGCTCTAAAGCTGAACGACCTTTTAATGAACAAACGTGATCCTAACAATCCTGTCACTTACTTACTTGGAGACATTCGTCATGTGTTTGGTTCTAGAATGTCCGTGATCAGCGTTCCAGCAGTAAATGGATTGGCGGCTCTAGTCGTGCAGTTAAAGCACCCACCTGAGACCGCCCAGGTGGCCACCGTGCGTCAGGCCCCCGGCACCAGCAGCAGGGCCATATCCTGTGTGTGTGCTGGAGACGTTCCTGTAAATGTCAGGGAAGGGCAGAAAGCGGTGCCGCCCGCCCCCACCACCGCCCCGCGTAGGAGAGTGTCTTTAGGGCCGCTGCCCTGCCGGGGCCTCTGAGCCTCTGTTCACAGAGTCACCACTGTGTGCTGTACAACCAGTGGGAACTCAAGTTACGATGTTCTCTGGTTATTTCAAATAAATGGTAGAATCCTAGCGGCTCTGACTTTTTGTATGTGTTATTTTTATTGTGGTAAAATGTATATACCATAAAATTTTCCATTGTAGCCATTTTTAAGTGTATAACACAGTTGCATTAGTTATATTTACAATGGTGTGTGACCCTCACTGTTTACTTCCAAAACTTTTTCATCACCCCAAACAGAATTGGGACCCGATTTGAAGGCAGAGCCAGCAGGCTTCGCTGGTGGAGGGGTTGTGGGCGTCAGAGAGGGGTCGGGAAGACTGCCAGGTTTCTGGCCGACACTGGACAGCGGAGGACGGTGTGTCTCCACTGATACGGGGTGGGGAGCAGGGGGCAGGAAGAGCTGGCCTCCAAGGTCGATGGGGAGTTGTTTGCCGCCATCAAGTTGACCCCTGACTCATGGTGACCCCATGCTCCCATAGGGTTTTCATTGGCTGATAATTTCAGTAGATCACCTGGCCTTCTCATCTGTCTCATGAAGCTGATTTTTGCTTTGGGAACCTGCTGGCAGGTGTTTCAAGGGTGCAGAGTGGGACCTGCCATCCCAAGGCCAGTTGGGTTCGTGTGGGGCCTTGTCTGGTGCCCAGGAGCTCCTTCCTTGTCAGGCCGGGAAGTGTGGGCTCTAGGCCCAGGAGCTCAGTGCCCTGGATTGAGCTGTAACCATGACGCCCCTGGGGCGGGAGCCTTCCCCTCAGCACGCAGCCCTGTCTTCCCCCCTCGTGTCTCCTGTGAGCAGGCGCCCTTCCCTCCACATCACTGCCCCAGGGGGACGCAGGAGGCTCTCTGGTTCTGCGGTGAGGAAGAGGGAGGCTTTTCCTGAGAGATTTGTGTCTCACTTTCTCTGGTCCCAGTGGCTGCTAGGAAGCTCGTAGCCAAATTTGTAGTCCACCCTTGCCCTCTGTGAGGACGTTAAACATCACAGTATGAATTTTGTGGGCTCCTTCTTATGACCTCAGCCTTGTTGTCCCCTCCTGACCCCTTGGGGGGCCTTCTCATGAGAGGGTCCGGAGACGGCCATGGTTAGTCTGAGATTGAGGAGGGGGTGCCAGGAGCAGCCCCCATGGCCTGCTTTCCAGCCCAGCACACTGGAGGTGGTCTTAGGGATGGGGATCCAGCTAAGATTCCTTGGACTCAATTAAGTGCAGGCACTAAAGCCAGTTCTCAGTGACTTGTTCTTCACTGTGTTTTTATTTGGTGTAAAGAATCCCGTGCTTTAAAAAACGAGTTTTCTGAAGCTGTTTCCCCTTGCAAGCAAGAGCCAGACACTGGTCCTTCTTGTACCCTTGGCGTTTACAGTAGTCAGAGCACTGTGACACCCACGGTCCTGTCCGACCGTTAACTGCCCCGGAGGCAGGCAGGGCGGGGGCAGGTGGCCCATCTCACCCGCAGGGAAGCTTGTGGCCAGAGCAGCTGGCTGGGAGCCAGCACGCAGGCCCCCAGTCACCTCTCTCCCCCTGGCCTATGTGTTGTTTTGCTTCTCAGATGTTGGTGACCTGGGGTGGGAGCTGGGGGGAGTCCTGAGGGAAGTGAGGCCAAGTCCCCCCTCACTGAGCTGCGCTCATTGCGGGGGGTGGGGTGGGGGTGGGTTGGCAAGGCCAGCTGTGCTTCCAGGAACCTAGATGCTTTTTTTTTGGTAACTATGTATGTAACATAACATTTGCTATTTTAACATTTTTTTCCATGTACAATTTAGTGACATAACATTTGCTATTGTAACATTTTTTCCATGTACAATTTAGTGACGTTATGTTCATCATGTTGTTCAACCATTAACCACTATCCATTTGCAGATTCTTCTAGCACTCTTTCCTCAATGGATGGACTTAACACCCTTGTTGAAAATCTGCTGACCATAGATGTACAGGTTTATTTCTGGACTCTCAATGCTATTCCACTGTTTTGATTACGGTAGCTCTGTAGTATGCTTTGAGATTGGAAAATGTGAGTCCTCCTGTTATTATTATTATTATTATTATTATTATTATTTTTGAGATTGCTTTGGCTGTTTGGGGCCTTTTACAGCTCCATATAAATTTGAGGATTGCCTTTTCTATTTCCGCAAAGAAGGCTGTTGGGATTTTGATTGGAATTGCATTGAATCTGTAGATTGTTTTAGGTAGTATTGACATCTTAACAGTATTAAGGGTTCCTATCCATGAGTCCTGGTTGTGCAGTGATTAAGTGCTCAGCTATTAACCAGAAGTTCCGTGGTTTGAAACCAGCAGCAGCTCCGTGGGAGAAAGATGTGGAAGTCTTCCTCCGTAGAGATTTACAGCCGTGGAAACCCAATGAGGTTGCTGTCAGCCGGAATCGACTTGGTAGGTCTTTGGTTTTTAATGTCCTTCAGTAATGTTTTATAGTTTTCAGTGTAAAAGTCTTTTCGCTTTCTTGGTTAAATATATTCCTAGGTATTTTATTCTTTTCGATGCTACTGTGAATGGAATTATTCCCTTAATTTCTTTTTCAGATTGCTCATTGCTGATGTATAGAAACGCAACTGATTTTTGTGTGTTGACCTTGTATCCTGCCATTTTGATGGATTTATTTATTAGCTCTAGTAGCTTTCTTGATTCTTTGGGGTCTTCTGTATAGAGGGACAAGAGCTGGAATTGACTCGATGGCAGTGGTGGTGTTTTTTTTTTTGGTCATCTGTGAAAAGGGATAGTTTTTACTTTTTTCATGATTTGGATACCTTTTATTTACTTCCCTTGCCTAACTCCTCTGACGAGAACTTCCAGTACAATATTAGTGATGAGAGCAGGATCCTTGTCTTGCTCCTGATTCTAAGGGGAAGGCTCTTAGTCTTTATTGAGTATAATGTTGTTAGTTGCCATTGAGTCGATTCCTACTTATAGCGACTCCATGTGTGAGGAGTAGAACTGCTGTATAGGGTTTTCAAGGCTGTGGCCTTTGGGAAGCAGATTGCCAAGCCTCTCTTCCAGGGTGCTTCTTGGTGGGTTCAAACCACCAACCTTTCGGCTAGTAGTCAAGTACTTAACCGTCTGTGCCATCCAGGGACTCCAAGTATGATGTTAGCTGTGGGTTTTCCAT